TTTGCTCTACTCTGTATTGAGCACTCATTTAAGAATAGTATTTCTTGGTTAGTGAAATTTATTCCGTATACACCAATCGTATACTTGCATATATATATATATATATATATATATATATATATATATATATATATATATATTTCCTTAAAGAAGGTCACAAACAGGCAAGGGTGGTATTCGAGTGAAAGAAATAGCAATACAGGGCGTAGATGAAACAAAGAGAGGTTTATTGTAAAAAGAGAATACGCTATTGAAAGATCAAAAATCGGTAATCGGGTAGCCGGCTAGTATTTCCCGAAGGAAGTCCGCCTGTTATATCCTGTGCTTACTATATATATCTAGAGATATAGTCAGTCTACATATGCCATAGCGAGTGTGGGAAATTCCATTACAACAATATATATATATATATATATATAGTCCGACAATTATCTGCTCATGGTGTATCAAATGTAAACAAATGACGTCACACAATATAAAATGGACAAAGTCCGACAATTATTTTAAAACATTTTTATGTTTAACATTCTTTTTATAGATTCAAATATTTAAGCAAATGCTCTGTTTATAATAAAAATATTAAACAAACAGAGCATTTGCTTAAATATTTGTATCTATAAAAAAGAATGTTAAATATAAAAAATATTTATATATATATATATATATATATATATATATATGTATAGTTGCATAATGCATTTTTAGATGTATCAAGGGTGCATTTCAGTGATGCACTGTCCTCATCGCCGATTTGGAATTTGGCATCATATCGGCATATACAGACATTTCATCCGGCTTTGATGGATCTTCAAGCCTCTCTGATCTTTACATGTCTTACCGCATCAGCATCTTTTCGTTGTCGAATGAGCGTTTCCGTTCGATTCCAATAAATCCGTCTTGTTGTTGATCTCTCCCCCAGCCCCTCAGTATCACCCGGTTGCATGATGCTACGTCGTAGCATATTTGGGTTTGCTCCTCGCTAAGCATGCAAGTTTGGTAGCTAACCCTTCCTGTCCCACTACTCGTCTTTCTGAGCTTCCATTTGTCTCTCCAATCGTCAGCAGATCTATTCCCTGGTTGCCAACCGGTCTCTTCTCAGCCGTCACCGCTAATAGCAGAGTTAATAGTTGCATAATATATTTTTAGATGCATCGTGGGTGGTTTTAAGTGAAGAACTGTCTCCGTCCCTAATTTCGTATTTTGAATCATATCACTCAACCAGCAACTCCGAACTGCCTGCGGATGTGTCAGGCCGCCTCCTTGAAAGTGTCGTGCTACGCACCTCGACATCACAAAAAATCATGCTGATCACCATAAGGAGTCGGAAAGTTCTTAATGAAATACGTCTGTCAGTGTAAGGCATCCTGGGTAAGACGTTAAACTACATCACCGTCCTGGGTAAGACGTTAAACTACATCAGCGTCCTGGGTAAGGCGTTAAACTACGTCCAGCAGCAAGGCCTCTGATCAGGAGGTTTTGAGGAGCGTGGAACGACCTCTTAATTGCTGGTGTTCCTTAAGTTTACCCTGACCCGTGGTGGTAGCACCTGTTAGGATCCCAGCTATGGGCAAATAGTTAACTATTACCAGCGATACATTTTTGAAGGAAATATATTACCAGAAAAAGATTTTTGACAAAACAAAATTTTATTTATTTTGTCAGCATTAAATAACTCATTGAGGTTAATATGCCGTTAAACAAAATAAAAGAAACCAAACCAAACCGTCAGCGTAAGCCAATGAAAAACGACAAAGCTTTTCACGCTCCCCTCCTATATATTGGTGTCTTTTTACTTCCTCTGGTTTCGATTTGAGATAATTCACCTGGATTCCTAAATCGGCAAGTTAGTCTCTTTCTTGCATAGTTTAATCCAAATGTTTCATTCGTTGTAAATTACTAATCCCATTAAATTACTAACCCATTCACTAAACCTACACGCGTACCCAACCCAAATCTATCATATACCTATACTAGAACTTATGCTTCGCCTAAAATCTGTCTTGCTTACCACTTGTAGAAGTGTTTCTAAAAAAATATACACTATTCTTACTATCAGATAATTCTTTAAATTTACAATTACTTTATACGCTTAAACCAACGAAATTCCATATTTTTTTTATATACATGCATGTACACCAACACGTCTACGTATATATGTACTTACACGTACATACACGGGAGCACATGTATATATTCATCTGTCCCACATTGACATTAACATATTTTTACGAAACCAAAGTTACTGGGGTGACAAACCAGACATTGCAAAATTTATTCGTACTATTTATCTGAAATTCCTTCTCCACACACATCTCCCCCCAGCTATGGGTAAATAGCAACACAGACTGGGTTCTATAGCCTTGGATGTCAACTCGGTGAAGGACAACTCTGAATTCAAAACCTGTGGATGTTGGGGGACCTTGGTGCACTTAGTGCACCAGGTCACTGTCTTCGGCCCTTCAAAAAGTGTGGATGGTCCTGCACGAAACATTCACCACTATAATCAAATCTTATGTGCTTTTGTTTTCCTGGGAGAGTCGAATATATATATATATATATATATATATATATATATATATATATATATATATATATATATATATATATATATATATATATATATATATATATATAAATTATGACGCTTACCACACATAAGTGGTAATATTTAATTTGCATATTGTTTTTTGAAGAAGCACACTTTAACGATTTTCTATTCCGCATTATTTATTTTTGTTAATTCAAATTTTTTAAAAAATCATTTTTAAGCAACAGGTATCTGTCAAGAAACATTTTTTCTGTTAATCCATCCTGTTTGTCTAGAAATAATTTCTATCTGTCTTCCCAAAAAGTAGTTGTAAGTTAGCAGAAAAAATCTGAATACGTTAACATTTTAATAAAATGTAAAGGTAATGTAATTTTGGCTTCGAAATTTTTCTTATGAAGTGGACATAAAGTAAACAATTATCAATTCAACAATATTAATTTTTTTAATAGAGGTCTATAACTGAAGCTTCGCACTGTTACTTAGGGTCTGTTTTCTGCAGCGTTGGTGGTAACCATGGTTGTTGTTTGACATTAAACATTACGATAAATTAATCAAGTGAAATCAAAGAAAAATACGGAATTATGTAAATATACCAAACTAGCGTATAACTTGTTTAATTAAATTTTCTGATAACTTGATGGAATTTAATTATTATGAAACCCATAGTATTCATATGTTTTTCTCATGGTCACCTCTGAGTATTTATACCTAGAGTAGAAAAATCGATTGGCCTTAGATTTGAAACAAAACGAACTCCAGCTATTATACGTCTTGATGAAAATATTTGTACGGAGAACTTAAAGTTACAAAGACTATTTATTACAACTTATTTTTCATTGTCCATAGCACCGGTATTCGGCTAGTATCTAAAAATATGTTTTCTTCTTAAAAGCAAGAGATTTCAGAGATAATAATATTTCTAAAAGACTTCCCGAATGGCTTCTTCACCAGCTCATTTTTATGACATGATTATTAATGCTTCGCGTAAATTGTGCTTATTTTTTTTTACTCTAATATGAGCAGGGTTGAGTATATGTTAAGAAACGCCTCCATTTTTTATTTCGAACTAGCAGTAGAGCCCGGCGTTGCGCGGGGATATAACAATAAGAGATAGATCAAGTATGGACGATCATAAAGACTGAAAAATAAAATTGACAAAGATTATTGTTTAACGTTGACGGACACGCATGTCTTAATTAGTTTTTTTTTTTTAGTTTTTTTTTTTTTTTTTACGAATTGGTCAAACCCAAACTCAAGCAAAAACATTGTTTTCAATCGTTATGAGTCTCTACCGATTGAATAGAATTTTATTATAAACAATTGCCTTGTAAATGGAATTTTTAAAGCATTCTGAATGTAAAAATAAAGAAAAAAGTGTGCAAGACAATAAGAAACACTACATGCCCCCAAAAAGTGAAGTTTTGTTGAAATCGGTTGAAAAATGTAGGTAGCCTTTCTGTAATCTTTTAGTTTTACAATTTATGATTTTTACTTATTGAATAAAGTAATAAAAATTGATTATTTTGCTTGTGGTGATTCATAATTAGAATTCTGATTTGAATATATTTTCCACTCGTTGTTTCTAATACAAAAAATATTAACTTTATTTGGGTTTGTTAATTATGATCTAACAAATCTTATTCATTTAGTAGCCTTTCTGTAATAATAATCTTTTACAATTTATGATTTTTACTTATTGAATACAGTTTCCCGTCCCGGTTATTATTTTTAGTTAGGACTCGTGTATGTTTAGTTTTCATTATCTTTCCCTGAAGATAAAGAATTTATTCCGATGTTTGTATTCGTACAGTCAGTAGAGATCGTTAGATTATTGTTTAAGGTTGACGGACACGCATGTCTTAATTAGTTTTTTTTTTAGTTTTTTTTATTTTTTACGAATTGGTAAAACCCAAACTCAAACAAAAACATTGTTTTCAATCGTTATGAGTCTACTGATTGAATAGAATTTTATTATAAATAATTGTCTTGTAAATGGAATTTTTAAAGCGTTCTGAATGTAAAAATAAAGAAAAAGTGTGTAAGAGAATAAGAAACATTACCTGCCAAAAAAAAATGTGAAGTTTTGTTTTATCGCCTGAAAAATATAGGAAATCCGCTCCCATATTTAAAGGAACCCACACACGCAAACAAACCTATGTGAGTTGTCCCCCTTCCATTTTCACGATGTCTCTTAATCGTGTTTTCAAATTTATTTTGTGCAAATATAATAATTATATTTTTCCCATTTTTGGCGCTGTTAGAACCACCACAAGGTAATTTTATGTAGTCCTGTGAAGTTTTGTTGAAATCGTTTGAAAAATGTAGGAAATCCGATCCAATATATAAACGTTACAGACACACACACACACACAAACACTGCGATTTATAATAAGTAAAATGTGTGTAAAATTGTTTAATTAGACGTAAGAAGTGAGAAACACTTGGTAGAAATTCAAGGTTTTCTAACGGGGGAATACGCCTCTTTTGAGAGAGAGAGAGAGAGAGAGAGAGAGAGAGAGAGAGAGAGAGAGAGAGAAAGATTAATTAGAATGGTGGATAAATCAAAACTAAGAATGCCTTTACGAAATAAAACTTTCTAAAAATCAAATACGAATAAATTCAGAATCAAATGACAGTTATAACGCTCTTCACTACTGATGTTTACATAAATAATTACAATGAAAATTTACAATGGCTATGATTATCTAAACGGTCTACCATAAGTTAAAGAAATGTTTCGGATGATTTAATGAAGAATAAATCTTTTCGACTCCATCTAAACTCATCAATTTATAATTATAAATATTTATTATATAGAATTCCGAAGAAAAAGCACCAATTTTAGTTTATAAAATGAGTTGGTCTCCAGGTGAGATATTGTACTTGACAGCAATTTCAGGGATACTAAACAGGCAATACGTTTACACTCTTTACATTGTTCGGAATATTGTCTTCATCTTCATTACAATATTTACGACGTTTGTACGCCCCGACCTTCTTTAAGATCTGACTATATTTCTGAGATGAGGTATTGTAACTATTTACCCTATTTGCATTGGTAGGACTATTGCCTTCATCTTTTTTGCTACATTCACGACGTTTCAGCCGTTGTACGCTCATGCCTTCGTCAAGGCCGAGTGGATAAAAGGGTTGGTTGAGTGATCCAAAAGTGACTTAACCCAAGTCTAATACCTGTGTTGTAATGTAAGCAAAGAATCTGTTGAGATTGGCGTGGACACTTAACTGATTGCTCTCCCAACACCTACTGGGATAATAGGGGAAAAGGGAGAAAGAGACGGAAGGTAACAAAATATACCACTGCCTCGGAAACACCAGCCACGTGAGGAACAAAATTCCCACGGGACCGACTTCACAAGACACCATGTCTTGCCAACTGACGACTGCTGAGGGGACGAAAATATTCGAGAGTTGAGTTACCAAGTGGAATTAGCTGAAACTGAGATATCTAAAAAAATAAAAAAAGAAGATATGGCACACGAAATTAGAAAAATTTATCCCCGTGGATTAAATAAAGGTTTCGGTTAGAAATTCAAATATTATCTGAAGAAGGCCGTAGAGTACAACGGCCGAAAATTCGTGTATATGGCTATAAAAATGAGGACACCAGACGGAACAACGTAAATAGTTAAATTACCTAATCCCAGAAATTTAGAAGGATGCAATATATTTGTGTCTACCGTGAAGTAATCGACTGAGGAATGGGAGAGCTGAGTTCGAATTCCAATCTAATCCATAACATTCGAATACATTACGTGCTAATACACTTGGGAAAGGTATGAATCCTCATCTGAGGACAGACCGGGTTCTGTAGCCTTGGATAGCAACTAGTTTACTGCAGAAAGAAATGGCAACCTACTGCGGGAATAAATCTGCCTCGTCAGTCATGTATCGAAAGATACATGATCACCTCAGCGTGTATCACGCATGGCACATAACTGACTATCAGTTTTACATAGTTTCATGTTACTTTTGAACTTTTTGTAATATTACCAATTTATTCCTAAATATTTATACAGTACACGAATATAATGAACAGTATCGTAATAGAAGTCAAAAATAGTCTCCATATTCTGTATATTAATAAGTGATGTAATGAATATGCATACACCTGGGTTCCACCTCACAGTAATATGATTGGCTGGTGTCAGTCATAAATAGAGACTGATATAGAGGCTCAGGACTACGTCTCTTGACGACGCCTATTGGCTATGCCTTTAGTCTTCACCTATTGTCTACGCCTATTGCCTACCTCTATGGCGAGGACCAGTCCATTACGGTTACCTGCTAGATTATCCTACTCGATTACAGTAGTCCCAAAATCACTTTGCTACTTCGAATAAATATATCCCTTTTCGGGACATATCAATAAGGATGGTGCAAATACAGTACAAGTAAATGTTTTTATTGTTCACTTTATTTATTGTGATTCTTCGCACAAAGTATAATAATAAATAGAGGGATTTAAAAAAAAATAAGTTTTTAGAGCTGGTTCTAATTTAGAGGCGTGGGTTAGTGTTAGGGTTGGGGTTAAAATCATAATAACGTGTCATTGAATTTAACTTATTTACTATTTACCTATTTGCTGATTTATAGTTTTAATTCTTTTCTCACGGGCGGAATCCGGAAAGCCAGCCATGTCTGAGATTTCTATCGTAACATACTAAAAATAGACCCCAGTCTTCAATTAGCTGTACTTTTTACCAAGGAAAAGCGAAATAAAAACCGAAAATCTAGGTAAAGATGGTCGCTCAATTTGTTGATAGTAGAATTCGTAGTTCAATTTGTCCATGATTTTGTCCAGATATTTCCCTCTGAAAATAGCATCCACTTGAATATGTCACAGTGCCTCTCAGAAGGTGAAAGAAGAGAATGGATTGGTGTAAGCAGAGAAGGGAAGTAAGAAAAAAACAGAAGGAGATTGTACAAAGATGGCGCCGGAAGAGATTCTTATTATCCTCTTGGATGATAAGACTTCATGTATTTCAGGAAAGACTCGTTACAACGACAAAAATGTGTTTCCATCGTGTTCTTTTTTTTCCTTGCTAGCTGATGGAAGTAGATATTCGGACACTTTCAACCTCGGGACGGTGACAGAGTTCAGATAATCATGTCAAAACTCTGATACTGAGTATATATATATATATATATATATATATATATATATATATATATATATATATATATATATATATATATAATTTCCACTTGTGCTGCTTTTTCCATGAACTATGTGGAACCCACCCCAAGAGGATGTTTCCCCGATAACTACAATCTTAATCTCATTATAAACAATAAAAAAAACTTTATATACAGGGTGCCCAGCAAAAAAAGTGGCAAGTTTATTAACACAGTTTTATCTTTCAGGAATAATTGACCTTGAATAACTTTGAATAAATTCCTTGGATATTTATAACCTTGAATAATCATTTGATGCTCGCGTAATTACTTAACTCTGGTTGGTTCTTTTATGATTGATTTATTGCTGATCGATCTTGTGTCCCGTCATTTAAAAATTATTTGCACACAACTTTGTTCTTTCATTTTGTCCTTCTCGTATAGCTAACGAAGTCACTGATTTTGAGTGTCAAGTTATTTGTTTTTTTTTTTTTTTTCAATGAATAACATCCAACGTTGGGATTGACGAAACGTGCAAAAATTCTTCCAAAATTTTTCAGTCACATCAGTCGTCACCAATTTCCCCCGGTTTCTCACGTATTCCTGTATTTACCGCTTTTTTTTTACAGGGTACACTGTATATAAATTCTACAATATATAATTACTGCTTTTTGGCATTCCTGATTCCTGGTTTTCTGTAGTTCCAGTCAGGCGAACCGTTTGATCTATCGTCCTATGAGCCTTCTAAATATTTTGACAAAATGCTTGATGCTCTAATCTACCCTAGATCGGTTAAGCATCTTATCTTCAATTTTTTGCAATGAGGTTAATATACTAGTGATGGGGAAATCATCCTCTTGGGAGTCGGTTCCACAGCGCAATCGTTTGCGAGAAGTAGCTGCTAGAGTGGAACCTGCTTCTCCCTGTGGAATACGGAGGGTATGAGGGTGGTCAGCTACTATGTAAGTGGCAGGTCGTGTTCTAGCATTGAAGGTCAGGACTGGCGAAACCAAGGAATGCAGACGACAGAGCACTTTCCATGGAAGTAGCGATAGAACAGGGAGAGGCTTTTAGACTCTGTTGAGACTTAAAGGTGAGAACTGGGCAGCTCCTGCGCAAATATGGTAACATTATTCCATTTTAGTCTTGATCTGGCTTTTATAAAGGTAGTGGATAGCAAAAGGAGTAAAATACTTACTGGAGAGAACCGACGATTTTTCTGCATCTTTAGCGAGGGATTGAATGTGCGAGTTACACTTAAGTTCGAGTGTAATTTCGAGATCCAGTAATAGCTTATAGCATAGGGCCTCCCAGAGATGATATCCATTCATCGTGACTGGTTGTAGATCGAGCTCTGATTGGCGATAATGCTTGGTTTCTGAGGCATGAAATAGAACCCACCAGTTTTCCCACATTGTGATGTTAGAGCTAGATCAGACAAGAGACTAGTTGACACTCTCTGGTCATCTATAGTTTTGGAGGAATACCCACATATCGTTGTATCATCAGCATAGATATTTACAAAAGATCTGCGTATTCCCTAAAGCAGATCATTTAAAAAAAAGCGTTGATACGAGAGGTAACCACTGGAGGACGATTGAGTTGATTGTTAGAGCCCCTATTGATGTCAGAACTACCATTACTCACAGAATTACTGAGGAGCAAGACAACAAATACATCCCAATGACCATAGCATTAGATATTTCTAAGGCTTTTCATATGGTGTGGCACAAAGGATTGCTGCTCAACCACTCTAACTATGGAATCAATGGAAGATTCTGCTCAATAATAAACTCCTTCCTAACAGGTAGGACGCTCCGGGGCTCTAGCAATCAATAGACTTAAGAAGCGTACCCTGGCGAAGGCATTTTTTAAGAAGTAAGTGGGGGTAAATCCACAATACTTCCATCCAGATGGGGAGATTTTATTCTGCACATATGTGCATAAAGTTTGTGCATGTTTATTTTGTCCTTCGTAGGCTGAAGAGAGCAAGCGTCTAACTGCGTAGCTGCGATGTGTCTTTAAACATGTCGACGAAAATTAGTGTAAATTGCTGTGTCATCAGGGTGCTATATGGTGTAGCATGCTGAAACGTCTGTAGTGTAAAAAAACAAAAGGTATCAGAATAAATTTTCTTATTTTACAATGCTCTAAGTTGAAAAGATTTTGCCTAGAAAGCCTGGTTTGTGTGATGTATGTAGATGATGTTGCCGCGCAAAATTTTAATGCGTGAAGCGTGTTACAAAACAGTGAAGAAGAATGAAGAACATATTTAGACCAGTGAATTGTTTGTGTGTGTCAAGTTGCGTAGAAGGCGTCCTAGAGAATTGTAATGTGAAACGAAAAGAAAGGTTTTTGTGCTCGTGAATGTATGTACGTACCCAGGTGTGGGCGGCATTTCTGCACGAGGCGACCTACAACATAACATCCC